AGGGACTGATATCATGTTCTTTTCTCCCAAACAACTGCACTGAGATGTACATTTATGATCTCACCTTTAGAACTTGGGTAGATGTATCCACCTGACACAACAGCGGCCACTCGGCCACACCTTCTCTTTTTTGGAAGGTTTTTGTTCTCCATGCCTCTACGGGGCTCTTGAGAAATGCCCCGCGCCTTGCAAGGTGGAGGAAGCCCAAGGCAACGGGGCAGTAGGGGCTGCCAGGTTCTAGGGGCGTGTATGTGCAGACTCGACTATGCATAAAGAGAAAGAAGGTTTAAAAATCCATTTGCATGAAAAATCAGAACAATGTAATAGCAAACGACAATACCGAAAATTTGCCCAGCGGCTACCAACAGCACAAAAGCAGAAGTATTGTTTGTAGGATCTAGGAGCGCTTAAGCGTGTGAGACAATTTGTTCCTCCATTGACCCCCGCAAACAAGGTACAACTCTTTTATCTAACCGTTGTTTGACTGTTGCAGCGTTATCTGGGAGGCTCTCGGTTCAGATCTATAGCTCCAAAGCGTCAAAACCATACAACATCACACGGCTATGATCATAACCTTTTCCATTTATGATTCTAGCACTGGGCCCCTGCTAGAGGAGGTAGGATGGGACGACCTTTCCATTTACAGAAGTAAGGTCCTTGCTATAGAAATGTTTAATGTGTAAGACAATATGGCACCTGAATCCCTTTCCCCAAAAAGTAAGTGAGGACTACCTATGATACTGGGGCACCTCTTTTTTTCTGGCAAAAAACATGTAAGACAATTTGGCACCTGAATCCCTATCCCAAAAAGTTTTTGAAACTTAGGACTACCTATGATACTGAGGGCAGCTCTTTTTTATGGCCAAAAATGTCTTGGCTGTAAGGGTGCATTTTTGGGAATAAATTACATAAGGATTTGCGTCAATGCTACTGAAGGAAGTTTTTTCAAATCTACATTGGACTGATTGCTTCCCACGTTCTTTTATTTCTTACTGTAATGCTAGCTTAGATTTGTTTTATCCGAGGTTAATACCTTCTTTTACAATTTTGTTTTTTTTTTCTTTTTGCACAACTAATTAATATCAACTCGAACCCGCTAAAAAACGTACACATATTTTCTGTAATTTAACTCAGCTTTAGCTGTGAGAACTTGTGTCTATATAAGAAATCTCTCTCTCTCTCTCTCTCTCTCTCTGTGCCATATATTTTCCAAAGGCCTTTTTTGATGGACTCGTTTTTCAAGGTGCTTATATTCTGGAGGCAGGTTGCATTAACAAATTTAAGTAAACCTTCTTATTGTCCGAAGGACTATTTATCTTTACCGGTGTGTGATGTTGTTCGCCTCGGGCTTCTCGTGCTGCAAAACAACATCCATGACACCATCCTGATCCAGTTGGGCGGTGGATGTGCTTGTACCCCTAAAAATAGAAAGGACTTTTATGACTATGCGTTGGAAACTCTCTAAGTACTACGTAGAGACTTTCCCTTGGTCTCCTGGGATGAACGGAGAAAATGTCGGAATTCTTACGTCTGTGCATTATATTCTCATTCGTTGGTTCATTGCAAAGGAAACCTGTAAATCACCAAGAAAGCCGAAAATTGGTATGTGCATCGTTGTCTCAAGTAAGTGCTCAATGTGAACGAGTGATGAGTCTCAAGGCCCAAAAAATGAGATATGCACAAAAAGCAAAAAGTAACCAATTATGGTCGTTTATGTCTTGGTCAGTAACAATTTAACAAGGATACCTGAACGTGATATCTTCAACTTTGCTGCCCTGAGAAAGGGAAAACTCCCCCAATCCCAGCTCTTCCCTGAGATGTCTAAAGGCTTTGAAAAATATACATGGGTAGAAAACTGGAGATTACCAAGTTCATTTTATAAATAAGTGGCATACAATGTAACACAATCTTTTCATTTTATCCACTTACGTTGCAATGCCGCAGGAGTCTCCAAGCCAATGTTGTCCAGAATATGCTCAAAATCCTGGGCAAACATTGGCTTCTTGGGGTATAGATCTTGTTCCCCTAATTCTTTCCACATGAAGTGGCTTAAGGTTGTCCCTAACTAATGTGTCCATTGGAAACTTGCTGCTTCCTGAAAAAAAAAAACACTTTTAATATTATGCAATAAATTGTGTCCTGTTACACACGTAGGCAGTTTTAGGTGGCCAACTAGTGCATTGAATGACGATATTTACTAATGAGTATTGGTATTTAAATTATTAGGTCCACTTACCCACATACAAAGACCTCTAAAGAAGTTGTGTATTATTCTCTTGTATGCGAATCCTGCCTTCGCGGCACACAAAATGTTTTTATGTCCATCTCCTGCAACGGGAAACTCACAGGCTCCCCTGCCTTTACCTCCTTATGCCAGGCTAGATACAAGTTAATCTGGCATCAACTATGGACTTAATCTAAAGAAAGAGAAAAGTCTGGTGAGAGACTGACAGAGGTGGTGTTGGTTACTTATAGTGTAACAAAACAAGAGGTCTCACCTTTCTTGGAGCTAACGTATCCAAGTACATTTTCTTGGCATGGTCAAAGTCGCTTGCTGCATCCATCAAGGTAGCGGTGAAGTTTGCAATAAGCGCGCTGTTCTCTGGGAGCGTGATGTTCGCAAAAATGTTCCCTTCAGATCATGCTGTTCTTTTATTAACGTCTTTGGGTCTTACTAAGGCATCACAAGGGATGCAGCCCAAGCTGGAATTCTGGTTTTTCAAAGTTTCTACAGGTCATGGAACACAAGGAAAGCCATGACATTTAAAAATGTCATTTTCCAGACCTGGAAAGTCACGGAATTTGATTGTTGGTCCTGCAAAGTCATGAAAAATTAACTTTAAGTTGGATAAATTATAAACTGCAGATGAGCAATAAGCGCGCTGTTCTCTGGGAGCGTGATGTTCGCAAAAATGTTCCCTTCAGATCATGCTGTACTTTTATTAAGGTCTTTGGGTCTTACTAAGGCATCACAAGGGATGCAGCCCAAGGTGGAAATCTGGTTTTTCAAAGTTTCTACAGGTCATGGAACACAAGGAAAGTCATGACATTTAAAAATGTCATTTTCCAGACCTGGAAAGTCACGGAATTTGATTGTTGGTCCTGCAAAGTCATGAAAAATTAACTTTATGTTGGATAAATTATAAACTGCAGATGTCAAGGCAAGGACAATTAATGTCAGATAAAGACGAGTAATTAAATGGCATGGATTTTAGTGGACACCAGAGTTTATGTCTGATAAACTGTGTCATGTAGCAAAATACCCTTAAACAAGGAATTAAAGTTTCGAAAATATTCGAAAGTGACAGGAGACCCTCAGGTCATGGAAACCATGAAAAGGTCATGGAAATGGTCATGAAACTTGATAAACTAAAAAGAGCACAAACCCTGTCTCTTCGGTGCCTTCACTATCTCTTTATTAATACAAATTGGGAAGTGCCATGAAGCACTTGGAAGTCTTTTTTTGTTTCCTGACTATGCATGTCATCCCCTATTGTAATATCTGAACACCAGACCAGTCCTCGATGGAGGTGAATTTTGCTTTCAGAAGACAACACACGATTCAGTCTTCCATATTGTAATCTCACACTCACCTTCGATACATTACAAGCTTGGGTTACACAGGTAAGCCAATATACAATCACTACTCCTATTCTCTGTGGTTTCACACTCAGCAAGGACTCATTCTGGTAACTCTAAGAACAAAGTGCCTTTCTAATCTTTTGTTTTTCTTTAAAAGAATTGTTGCTGTCACTCTTATGAAACCTATTGAAATTTCTCAACAAAATTTCAACCAAGTATACATGCAAGGCTCATAAATGGAAGCGTGGTTTTGTCAATTTGAAGAAAAGTAGTAATTAAAAGGAAAAGTAACTTTACTTTACAAAACAAGAACATAAAAGTATAATATTATTTACATGGTAAAAATTAGATTACATTAGAATGTAAATTTATAAGTGTATCACTCCAGTGAATTCTCGAGCAGGCCAATTCCTGTTGACTGCTTGGAAAATGCATCAATAAATATTACTAGCTGTAACTTCCTCTCTTGCCTCTTCTGGCCTGAGTCTTATGAAAAAAAAAAAGTTACTCTTTGTGTGTTCCTTTTGAACCTTTTCCTGCTTTGTAGGGCAGCTGTTTCTAACCTAAGGCAATCCAAAATATGTTTGAAGTCTTGATGGAAGAGAGGCTTCTTCTGCAGAGTGTCCACCTCTTCCACCTCCTTCCTCAGATATTTTATGAGGCTTTTTCCTTGCTCTGGATGGGCACTTGCTGGGCTAGGATATTTATTTGAAAGGTGCTAGAAAGTTGAAGAAATTTATTGATGATGAAATGATACCTACCCATGAACAAGCAGAGACCCCCAAAAATGTAATTTGTTATTCTCGTAAAGGAGAATCCTGCTCTGCCACATGACATGCAGAAAGCCTTTATGTCTAACGGTGTCAGTGGAAGCTTTGCTGGCTCTCCAGGATGGTTGTCCTGGTGCCATACCAGATACAGGTTTCTGGTATCTATGGTTGACTTCAGCTGGTAAACAATGTAATTGTGTGGCAATTGTTACTTTTCTGTAAAAGGGTTAAAAAAATCCTGTCAAGGACAATGATTTTGTTTGGTGAACACGAGTAACTTTTCAAGTTTGCAACGTAATTGATTTAAGATACACTTTTAGGAACTGGTGTTTAAATGGACTATAAATGAAATATCATTTTTTTTATTGTTGTATTTGTATGTTGGAGTGAACAAATTGATAGTGTGTAACAAAGGACTTTATCACTTCACATTTCTTATTGTTCCTGCTGCCACCCAGGTCGTGGTCACCTTATGTCCAGGTTGGCCACATCAGGCATATTCAGTAGTGTGAGTTGTTAGATGTTGCTCCTCTTCATTTGTGTAGCACTTTTATCATTCACAGTGGCAAATCGTTTTCGCAGACAATGGGGTGCAAGGAACACGAAACGAATTACTAAACTGTAAAAGCTGATCGGATGGCAGAGAGACAGACAATGCAACAGGCGAAATAAAGGTAGGAAAAGTCCTTTGTAGGATTTTGCCTCGCAAGGTGCAAACATTTTACCTCTTTTGGAGAATTTTGGAGGAGTCAGTGGCTGTTTCTTCCTGGCATCATGCAACTCGCTGTTCTTTTGCGGGCAAAATGCTCTTGCGGCAGGTGCCTTTAAGTTCGTAGAAGTTTTTTGCTCCTTGTTTTCTTCTGCAAATCAAATATATTTGAAATCATGACATTGATGATGACATTGTCACAATGTTGTTGAAGGTACAGTGTAATTTGAACACTGACAAGCAATGAGCAATGATTATTACGGTAAAAAGGGGTCTTATACAACTAGGGGTTTTCGCACGACTACTCTAAGGGCCATATTGGTGCTCAAAGGGACACAAACAGGGCATCGGAATACAAACCCTTAGAATTTCCATTGAAACGTTTTCTGAATATCTTGCATAGGAATTATCCCACACCCACAAACCAGATTATTGGCAAGGCTTGTTGTACATTCACCTTCTTTCATTTCCCCGATTCTGCACTCTCACCGTAAACTGATTCACATTTTTTAAAGGTGTGTAGGAGAAGAGTACACAGGCATACAGGTCGCATCTTTGGACACAGTAATGATATATTGATGTTTATTGGTTTTCTTGCATTAATTTCTTCACAGAAGCCCAAAAGGTTCGCACTGGGGGAAGGGGAACACAACCTTTTATTGCAATATGGGTGCCTCCGCAACCTACGATGATAAGGGTTGGTGTTGCTATTCCGGATCAATTGCAAATTTATTGATTGAGGGTGTCAATTCTTAACTTACCCCGTGCCCTCTTCAAGGGCTCATAGTTGTTGAGAAATGCCTCCAATTCATCGGAGTATAATCGCTGGGCATCTGCCTGAGTTCTCAAATTCCTCAACGAGGATTCCAACCTTTAATTGTAGGCAGTTGGAATGCCTCGTAGCCTCTCCTCAGAGGTGCGTAATCCTTTTAAGGGATACGAGCATTATTACACATATGATGAACACGTTTTTTCTGAAACAGAGCCACATACTCTTCTGGCATGCAAGGGATTCATTTTGTGATGACATAAAGTACACATCTGCTTCTTATTAAACAACTGGAGTCATAGCAATATCAAAGTACATGTAAAGCTAACCAATATTCATAATCTTCTTGAACACTGCTGTTTTAAGCAAATAATGGTGTGTTGTCCCTAAAAAACCTGGGATTCTCAACACGGAGTAGGTACTAATCATAGTCCGTATCTTTCTCTTATTCGCATGTGCAACTTCAAACTCATATACCTACCAGGAATTATCAGGCCGGCACTGTCAGAATACTGTTCTATGATCTTCTTCACGTACAGGTGGACCACCCCCCAAAGTGACCGGCCAGCCCCCCCAAGCGCGTAGCTGGTCCACTGGACCGTCCATGTCTGTGAAAGGGTTAAAAAAATCCTGTCAAGGACAATGATTTTTTTTTGTGAACACGAGTAACTTTTCAAGTTTGCAATGTAATTGATTTAAGATACCCTTTTAGCAGCTGGTGTTTTTTTTAATGGACTATAACTGAAACATCAATTTTGTTATTGTTGTATTTGTATGTTGGAGTGAACTAATTGATAGTGTGTAAAAATGACTGTACCACTTCACATTTCTTACTGTTCCTGGTGCCACCCAGGTTGTGAACCTTATGTTCAGGTGGGCCACATCAGGGATCTCTTCCTCCCATTCCGCCATCATGGCCAAGATATCATGACAATAGTGTCCTTGTTGTTTTCTGTAATTTAAGAGTAAGATAACAGCAAAGTTAGCAATTCCCATTGATTACAAATCATCATCATGACTTCAGTAGAAATAAATCTAATCATTAATTTGCCAAATCAGAATTCCCCCTGTGGCCAATGAAAATTGAGACTGTAGCAAGAGTCTGACCGAATAACTTGTTGGTTTTGGAGGAGTCAGTGGCTGTACTCTACAGAATGCTTGGGTGGCCATAGCTTTTAGGCTTGCCAATCTGCGGGGTTTGGTGGATTTTCCTCTATAAATCGAAATGGACAGACCACAATGGTAAATTTGGACGGTAAGAAAATTACTTGATGTTAACATGAGAGCGAGAATTGAATAGTTACGTGGATTAAAATAGAAGAAAAAGGAAACTGTTATTTGAATTTATTGTCACTGTGTTGAGATGCTTTTACTTCTTGTTTATAGCTGTCATGATTGAAGTGTTGGCTCAGGTGCCTTGCATGGTTGGTAATTGGATGTACATGAGATTTCTAGATTAATCACAGATTTATTGATGGAGGGTGGCCATTCTTAACGTACCTCGTGCCTTTTTCAAGGGCTCATTGTTTTCGAGGAACAAACGAAATTCGTCTGGAAACATTTTCTCAGCCTCTTCCTGTGAGGTGATATTTTTGAGGGGCGCTTGCAATCGGTAGTTGTATGCACTAGGTATGTTGTGGAGGTACTCGACATGGAATACATACTCATCAAAGTCCGTATCTTTCTCTTATTCTCGTGTGCAACTTCAATCAATACCTACCAGGACTTATGAGGCCAGCACTGTCTGAGTACTGCTCAATGATCTTCTTAATGTAGACGTGGACGAGACCAGACTGCACTGACCACCCCCCCCCCCCCCCCCCCCCCCCCCCCCCCCCCCNAAATCTTGTTGCAAAGCCCTGAAAAAAAGGACCAAGAGTGTGATTACACAGTCAATCTAGGAAACCTGGTGTGCCCAAGTAAGTTATGTGAGTAACTTGTGCATTGCATTTTTTGTCAATGTAAGTTATTGACCGTTTTGATACCCTTTCAGTATCTGCAGGATTTATTGCATAGAACTGGTGGGGACAAATCCATAAACGATTGCTATCGTTAATTGTAATCACCAGAGTAACGTTGTGCGTTTAGGATTGGAATGATTACAGCTGCCACATGTAACTTTTTCACAACTGCGCAAGTCCAGAAATCGGTAGGGCCATTAAATTCGATGAAAGTTGCGGCTATACGTACAGATGTAAAAGATTTGTGGGATAAATCCCTTCCATCCAAACCCGCATCCAAAACGCTAGTTTTGAACAGTCTGCCCAGCTGGTGGCGATCGACCTGTTCTTGCTGAATATGAAAATGTTAAAAAAGACACATCATTACACACAAAAACAGAAAGATATTATCAATACCCCTACCAGCTTCTCTTTGACCCTACAGGCCTATTAGGAAGATGTGATCTAATCACTTAATTTTATACATACAGCTTAAAAAATGATATTCGTGTCATAACGTAGGAGGGATTGATATCATGTTCTTTTCTCCCAAACAACTGCCCTGAGATGTACATTTATGATCTTACCTTTAGACTTTGGGTGGATGTGTCCACCCGGCAAAACAGCGGCCACTCTGCCACACCTTCTCTTTTTTCAAAGCTTTTTGTCCCCCATGCCTCTTTGGGGCTCTTGAGAAATACCCCGCGCCTTGCGAGGTGGAGGAAGCCGAAGGCAACGGGGCAGTAGGGGCTGCCAGGTTCTAGGGGCGTTTATGTGAAGACTCGACTATGCATAGAGAGAAATAAGATTTGAAAATTCATTTGCATGCAAAATCAGAAGAATGTAATAGCAAACGACAATACCGAAAATATGCCTAGCGGCTACTAACAGCACAAAAGCAGAAGTATTGTTTGTAGGATCTAGGAGCGCTTAAGTGTGTGAGACAATTTGTTCCTCCATTGACCCCCGCAAACAATGTACAACTCTTTTATCTAACCGTTCTTTGACTGTTGCAGCGTTATCTGGGAGGCTCTTGGTTCAGATCTAGCTCCAAAGCGTCAAAACCATACAACATCGAACGGCTATGATCATAACCTTTTCCATTTATTATTCTAGCACTGGGCCCGTGCTAGAGGAGGTAGGATGGGACAACCTTTCCGTTTACAGAAGTAAGGTCCTTGCTATAGAAATGTTCAATGTGTAAGACAATATGGCGCCTGAATCCGTATCCCCAAAAAGTTTTTGAGAGCGAGGACCACGTATGATACTTTGGGCACCTCTTTTTTATGGCAAAAACGTCTTGGCTATAAGGGTGCATTTTTGGGAATAAATTACATAAGGATGTGCGTCAATGCTACTGAACGAATATTTTTCAAATCTAGATTGGACCGATTGCTTCCCACATTCTTTTATTTCTTACCGTAATGCTAGCTGAGATTTATTTTATCCAAGGTTAATACGTAGTTTTACAAATATATATTTTTTTGCACAACTAATTAATATCAACTCGAACCCGCTAAAAAACATACACAAATTTTCTGTAATTTAACTCAGCTTTAGCTGTGAGAACTTGTGTCACCTCCATATCTTTGTCAGAAGTTTAAAACCAGCTGCGGAAAAGGACCTTTTCCTGCTGTGATCCTTCTTGTAACCATGGCTCTCGAGGTCCAGGCCTTTTTTGATGGACTCATTTTTCAAGGTGCTTATATTCTGGAGGCAGTTTGCATTAACAAATGTAAATTAACCTTCTTATTGTCCGAAGGACTCTTTATCTTTACCGGTGTGTGATGTTGTTGGCCTCCAGCTTCTCGTGCTGGAAAACAACCTCTATGACAACATCCTGCTGCAGTTGTGCGGTGGATAAACGGACAAAATGTCGGAATTCTTACGTCTGTGCATTATATTCTCATTCGTTGGTTCATTGCAAAGGAAACCTGTAAATCACCAACAGAGCCAGAAATTGGTATGTGCATCATTGTCTCAAGTAAGTGCCCAATGTGAATGAGTGACGAGTCTCAAGGCCCAAAAAATGATATATGCACCAAAAGCTAAAAGTAACCAATTACGGTCGTTTATGTCTTAGTTAGTAACAATTTAACAAGGATACCTGAACGTGACATCTCCAACTTTGATGCCCTGAGAAAGGGGAAACTCCCCCAATCCCAGCTCTTCCCTGAGATGTCTCAAGGCTTATAGAAGCTCCCTTTCTTGAACACACGCCTATAGGAAAAATATTCATGGGTAGAGAACTGGAAGTTACCAAGTTCATATTTTATAAATTAGTGGCATACAATGTAACACAATCTTTTCATTTTATCCACTTACGTTACAATGCAGCAGGAGTCTCCAAGCCAATGTTGTCCAGGATTTGCTCAAAATCCTGGGCAAACATTGGCTTCTTGGGGTATCGATCTTGTTCCCCTAATTCTTTCCGCGTGAAGCGGCTTAAGGTTGTCCCTAATTCGGGGAACTGCTTGGCAAGACTAATGTGTCCGTTGAAAACTTGCTGCTTCGAGATAAAAAAAAAAACACTTTTAATGTTATGCAAAAATTGTGTCCTGTTACACATGTAAGCAGTTTTAGGTGGCCAACTAGTGCATTGAATGACGATATTTGCTAATGAGTATTGGCATTTAAATTATTAGGTCCACTCACCCACATACAAAGACCTCTAAAGACATTGTGTATTATTCTCTTGTACGCGAATCCTGCCTTCGTGCACTCCACACAAAATGTTTTTATGTCCATCTCCTGCAGTGGGAAACTCACAGGAACCACTGCCTTTACCTCCTTATGCCTGGCCAGATACAAGTTTCTGGCATCAACTATGGACTTAATCTAAAGAAAGAGAAAAGTCTGGTGAGAGACTGACAGAGGTGGTGTTGTTTACATATAGTGTAACAAAACAAGTCGTGTCACGTTTCCTGGAGCTACGGTATCCAAGTACATTTTCTTGGCACGGTCGACATCGCTTGCTGCGTCTGTAAAGGTAGCGGTGACGTTTGCAATAAGCATGCTGTTCTTTAGGAGCGCGATGTTCGCAAAAATGTCCTCTTCAGACCATGCTGTACTTTTATTTTGTATATATAAGGTCTTTGGGTCTTACTAAGGCATCACAAGGGGTGCAGCCCAAGGTGGAAATCTTGTTTTTCAAAGTTTCTACAGGTCATGGAAAACAAGGAAAGTCATGACATTTAAAACTGTCATTTTCCAGACCTGCAAAGTCATGGAATTTGATTGTTGGTCCTGCAAAGTCATGAAAAATTAAATTTATGTTGGATAGATTATAAACTAAAGATGTCAAAGCAAGGACAATGTCAGATAAAGATGAGTAATTAAATGGCATGGATTTTAGTGGACACCAGAGTTTGTGTCTGATGAACTTTGTTATGTAAAAAAAGTAACCTTAAACAAGGATTTAAGGTTTGGAAAATATTCGAAAGTGACAGGAGACCCTAAGGTCATGGAAACCATGAAAAGGTCATGGAAAAGGTCATGAAACTCGAGAAGCCCAAAATAGTAAAAACCCTGTCTCTTCGGTGCCTTCACTCTGTCTTTAACAATACAAACAGGAGAGTGCCCTGAAGCACTTGGAATTTTTTTTGTTCCTGACTATGCAAGTCATCCCCTATTGTAATATCTGAACACCAGACCAGTCCTGCCAAAGGTCTAAAAATTGAGACTGATAAACTATAGGTTCTTCCAAGTTTCTTCGTTCATGACGAGGTAAAAAAGCACCCAACAACCTTCATTTGCTCGCTGTTGGCCACTGTGGCAGCTCCTATGACGCGGGTTAAAACCATTACTGATTATTTGACGTATTGTCCAAGGGTCATTCATTGTGTTTCCATGGAATTTAGACTTTATGAGTCGTTCAATCGATAAATTCACGCAAAAGTTTGAAAACTTGAGAGTGGATTGTTGTGTTGGTTCCCATCAGCCATATGGGTGTTCCTAAAAGGGACACAAATATTGCATCTCCATAGAAAGCCATCAAATTTGAGCGAAACATGTCCTGAATGTCTTATATATGAATTTACTGATGTGCATTGTTATTTTTAAAGGTTTGATGGTCAAAACACAGCAAACTGGTCACATTATTTGGGACAGTAGTGATATTCTCTGCCCCCCTCTGAACTGGTTTCTGCGAGTTGGCATCACAGAAGCCTAAAGAGTCACACTTGGAGCGCAGGAGCAGTGCTGTTTGATGCAATATGGGTGCTGCGCCAGGCTCTCTCTACTTAAGGTGATTAGGATTGTACATGAGATTTCGAGATTAATCACCAATTCATTGATTGAGGGTGGCCATTCTTAACGTACCTCGTGCCTTTTTCAAGGGCTCATAGTTATCCACAAAAAAACGAAATTCATCTGCATACATCTCCTCAGCCTCCTCCTGAGTTGTATTTTTTTTGAGGGGCGCTTGCAATCTAAAATTGTAGGCACTCTGAATGTTGCGGAGGTACTCCCTCTCCGCAGGGGTGCGTAATCCTGTAAAAAGAAAAAGGGATGTTACCTCTTACACTGACGAAGATTAGTTTTTCCTTAAATATTGCAATAAGAAAAGCCACATGCACTTCTTGCTGGCAAGTGATTCACTTTTCGTGATGTCATCAAGGGCTCATCTACAGTTGTGTTAATGCATGGACTAAATTTAACTGGGACCGAAATGAATTTTGAGCGGGTTAAATTTCCAACGTTATTGCAACATACCTTTTGAAATGGTCTTGCTCTAATTAACAGGACATCTGTTTGAACATCTGGGCTCATCATGTCACTATTAAAGGAACTGTAACAAATAATTCAGTAGAAATAAATCTAATCATTAATTTGCCAGATCAGAATTCCCCTTGTGGCCAATTAGAATTGAGACTGTAGCAAGAGTATGACCGAATAACTTATTGGTTTTGGAGGAGTCAGTGGCTCTACTCTACAGAATGCTTTTTAGGCTTGCCATTCTGCGGGGGTTTGGTGGATCTTCCTCTATGAATCAAAATGGACAGAACACAATGGTAAATTTGGAGGGTAAGAAAATTACTTGATGTTAACATGAGAGGGAGAATTGAAACGTTACATGGATTAAACTGGAGGAAAAAAGAAACATTTATTGGAATTTTTTGTCACTGTTTGTGTTGAGATGTCTTTACTTCTTGTTTATAGCTGCATGGTTGGCCGGTATGGATTGGGTTTCTATGGTATTTCAATTCAAGGGATAAATGCTTTGTCTCTTTTTGTGGTACCATTTTTTTACCTTTTGTTTATCCCATCGTTTTGGCTCATGTTGTCATGGTCTGAGTGCCCTGATTATCTTTTGTGGAGATGTGAGGCATTTATGTGGAACCATATAATAGTCCATTTTTTAAGAGCTTATAATTATGAGGTTTTGTCGTCCTTAGCAGAGAGAAGTTAAAATAGATATTTTTTCGAAAGTTTTAAGACTTATAGTAGTTACAAATTAAGCAATAATTAGGGACACTACGTGTATCCTAGAAATTAAGAAATTATGCAATTATAGAAATCCACAAATTAAGATATTTATGAAGTACTTGTTAGTGAATACTTGCTCAAACTAGGTATGTACTATATGATGATTAACAAAAATGTTATGATAAATAGTAACCATGATTTTTATGTTGAAATAATCTATAAATTCAATTACTACACAGAATACATTCAGAACAACCCATCATCAGTTACCAAAAGACAGAAACTTCGCCATTAAATGTAAATATTTGAACGCTGAAAAGCATAAAAGGAGACCAAAATATCTGGTGATTAAAGAAGTGCAAGTTAGTGTCATGTTTTATAATAGTTGTGCCTCAGCTATCAATACCCAGTTGAAATGGTGAATCAATTTGTCACAATTTGTTGTAAGGGCAGATGCTGTCGTGCACGTCCAGTTTGGTGAGGCAAAAAGTACCTATGCAACCATGTTGACATTTCCTTTCAACAAACTCACATTGAGCTAGGAGTCTTTTTTCTTGGTGTTCCCCACTCCTTGAACAGACCAGAACAGTGCTTTGCACATTAATTTTGGCATTGATTGACTTTAGGGGAACAGAGGTGTTGAACAGCATTTGATTTCAGGAATTATTTTAGCCTAAAAAAGGAAACAACAATATTGGGAACGATGGACAATTGGGAATGTCTTGCCTCAAGGTGATTAATGCTTGCATTCAAGTCTGACAATTCTTTCCCTCTTTTTGCCCAGGTCAATGAATGAAAAGACTTCAGATCCAAAGGGTGAGAGTTAAAACCCTTGTAAGGATATATAATAATTATTATTATGATATAAGATTACCGGTATAACGGAAATAGTAAAACAATAATTTCTTTTTTTGCAAAATCATTTTTTACAAATCAGAACAATCAAGTCTGTTAAAAAATAAGTTAAGTGGAAAATTGTGTGAATTAAGTAAAAATTGGAATGGTTGGGTCCCAGGAGTGGGAGAAGCGCCATGAGCAAAAGCACAACCGGGCTCGTCTCACTTTGATTATCGATAAAATTTCCCCCATTTTCAATTGCTGCGGTAAGTGGGTCCCAGGAGCGAAAGAAGCTCTTTGAGCAAAATTACAGGCAGGCTTGTCTCACTCTTCAGGAGCCTGGGAACCAGATTTCAGGATAACCTCTTCGAGATGGTTCACTGCTCCAGTGCTCATAACTCCCATTTTTCACTACCTGCTGGTGGCCCTCATGTTTCCTCTTGATGTGGCACCCAAGGTGGCCGACATGATTTGTGGTATCGCCACATAGGCTGCATGCGCGCCTTTTTGGAAGATGGTTTGCCTTGATATGCACCCCAAGACGGTCGGGTGAGGTGAAAGTGTTGCCGTCCACTGGTGAGAACAGTAACTGCATACATTATTTCCCAGTTTCCTTTTTCACTCAACATAACACAAACTGATTTTGGTTGATCTTCAGACAATTGTATAAATACAACAAACTTCTAGTTCGCCAGAGTTATGGATTGATTTGAAAGCAAATGCCTTGCCACATATCAAGACTCCCATGATTTTAAAATTACCATCTCATTTCCTTCTTTTTTGTACAGTACTCTAGTATGCCTGCCTCGGCAAAGCCAGTTCTTGGCATCCCCCTGCCTCTTTTTGGGATGTTTCTGGACTGTGACATGCCTGTCACAGTCCGAGGCATTCGAGAAGGTGGCCTCAAAGCCATCGAACGGCACTAGAACTGGACGGGATAAACCCCGTCCGCTTCCGGTGCCACCCACCTGGACCTGATGTCCAGCTGTGCCACATCCTGGGGGATTTCATTTTCCCATTCTGTCAACATGGCCGGAATATCTAGTGTCCTCGTCGTTTTCTGTAATTTAAGAGTAAGATAACAGCAAAGTTATCAACCCCCATCGATTCCAAATCAACATCATGACTTAAGTAGGAGTGAATCTTATCATTAATTTGCCAATTCCCCTCCTCCTCCCTGTGGGCAACTTTACTTCAAACTGTAGCAAGAGTCAAACAGAATAACTTACTGGTTTTGGAGGAGTTGGCGGCCTTAGTCTCCTCTCCTCATGATTCTTCAGGTTTCTTTCCCTGCAGAAGGCTTGTGTCCCCGTTTCTTTGAGTTTCGCAATTCTGCGCTGGTTTGGGGGATTTTCCTTTATGAAACAAAATGGACAGATTACTACAAAGCCGTTACCTGATATTATCATGAGAGGGAGAATTGAATGGGGTTTGCATAGCTATTGAGAATTCTCCCAACCCTTTGAGGTTTTACATCAGACTATGCATACGCTGTGGAAAAAGGTTTCTATCGGTTTTTCCTTGTAAAAAAACGTATTTTTTAGAGAGAGAAAAAGGAAAACTCTTTATTACATTATTTACGGCAATGATTTAAAGAAAAATTGTAACCAGCTGCCAAGTGTTGTGCATAAAAGTTTTGTATGCTTGCTCAGTTTTTGTTTTGGCCAAAAGGTGTTTCCCAAGTTTTGGTTTTTCCTGATACAATGTTGACGGGAAAATATAATATTGCCTGTTTCTAAAGATTTTTCAATTTTCTTCTGACTAGGAAATGAGCGAAGTAACTATATGGTAAACCGTTTACAAAACTTGATCTTGTTTGTATGATTAGCATGTGTACAGCAAAACATGCCTTTGCCAATCAGAGTGCGCTGAATTACCAACTAAACTCGAATGATGCAATGTTTTCAGAAAATTTGTATTTACCCTTTGCCTTCTTCGGTGGTTCTTATGCTTCCAAGAAGGCCAGTACTCGGCTGGGTACAGCTCTTCAGCCTCCCTCTGTGTGTGGTTGTTCTTGAAGGGAGGCTGAAGTCTGTAGTTATAGGCAGTCGGGGTATGCCTTAGCCTCTTCTCCCCCTCCGATGGTGTTCTTAGTCCTGGAAGAAAAGGTACATAGTTTAAGAGATGTAACATTGTTGTCACGGCACTGAAACATCAACTCTGATGCAAATTGAAAGTGAACTGTATTTTATGTCCTATGAAATGAAGCTATTTACAATCCTAGAATAGGCTAGGTATGTCTATGTTGGTGTTCTACTGTATATGGAGGCGCTTGCTAAAGTAGCAGAGGACATGAGCTAATTGATTCAACCTGTTGGACAAATGATAGACGTTAGGTGAACATTCTTAGTTACATCACTTTAACAACCCATTTCAGTAACAGACTATTGTGCCATAAAAATTTTTATCATTGCTGAATGCAGTGTAAAACTAACAGGTGCACATTATGATCCATTGCCACCACATATCCACTACCTGTGAACAAATTAATATTGCCTTGTAGGGGTCGCCTACTGTAGACACAACGCTACTGTATGAGCCGTTGAAACTCGAAGAATATCAGAGACTGATAGTCATCATATAAAGTGATGAGGTATGCCAAAAGCCTATAGAGCTTTCACGCTTGACAAGTGATGCAGACAACCCTCCATGGGGTTCAAGACTTACTTCCATTCAAACCATTCAAATGCTTTAGACATTCCACTATATTCAAACTCTCTTGGTGTTTGGTGACAGTTTTTTCTGGGGACAGCAACATTGAATATGGAGCGAGAAGAGAGGCCACGTCAGTATATCCTTCGATAATTCTTTTGACATACAGGTGGACAACTGCCGATCTTGGAGACCAACCCTCAAGTCTCCGCAGCTGGTCAATCTGGTTGTCAGTGAAATTCCCCCCATTCTCGATGGCTGAGGAAAGGACAAATCGTGTGGCAAACTCCTGCATATTAAGAAGAGATGTACATGAGGTAAATGGGTTATGGACAAGCCTATGTAATGTGTAAGTAATCCCCTACTGTCTGGTCCATAAAAAGAAACCTTGGGGCTATTCATACGGGACCCGTACATCGACTTGTATTTGCTATTCATACGGGATTCTGACAAAATTGATCATAG